TTTTAATACAGTGTGTTTTGCTTAATATTTGGGAAATAAAGTATCGAAAAAGCTGTTTAACAGCCGCACAAAGTTTTTTTGAGAACTTTGTGCTGACAAAGTTTTTTTTTAACCACTGATACAAAGCTCAGATTTTGTTCAAATTGATTTCACACCTTTTTGTTCTTTGATTTATTTAGTATATTGGGTCCTTCAGTCTAGAGAGCATTTGATTGAACAAAAAGAAGTATTACTTAACTATTTTTGATATGTCTACAACCCAAATTCCAGAGAAGTTGGGACGTTTTGTAAAATGCAATAAAATCAAGAATCTGTGATTAGTTCATTCTCTTTAACTTGTATTTAATTGACAAAAGTACAAAGAAAAGATTTCCAAAGTTTTCACTGACCAACGTAAATGTATTTTGTAAATATTAACAAATTTTGGTTTTGACGGCTGCAACACATTCCCAAAAAGTTGGGACAGAGGCAAAATAAAAGTCAAAAGGTTATAGCGTATCCATGTTAAACTGTTTTGAAACAGTTCACAGTAAGCAGGTGAATTGGTAATAGGTTAAGATATCACGTTTGTGTATAAAAGGAACATCTTAGTCTTAGCAAGCAAAGCTGGATCGTGGCTCATCACTTTGTGCCAAATTTCACCAGAGAAGTGTCAAACAAATCAAAAATCACATTTCGCAATGCAAAATTGCTAAGAATTCAGGTCTTTCACCAACTACCAGGTGAAAGACACATCATGCAGACGCGCTGGGACACATCATCAGTGATGTATCCTGGGGTCATTAGGTGTTTCGGGTCTTTCAACATCAAGACACCCTCGCCCCGGCGACCCAGCGGTCTGTGTCCCAGCAGCGGTTGCCCACGGTTCTGCCCTCTTAATCCAAAGCCACCTAGTGGCTTTCTCTGCAGCTTCAGTTGCGGATCTGATCGCCTTTCTTTTCGCCTCCCTGATGATACCTAGAAGCGTGAATGCTTTGCAGAGTGATTGCCCTGCAAAACCCCTGCAGCCCACCTCCAAAGGCTCACGAGTTTGCCAGCCCTGCCTCCTGCACTCTTCCACTAGCTCTTAGTATTTAGCACGCATCCTCACATTGGCCTCTTCCCAAGGCACAGTAAGCTCCAGCAAGATCAATTGCTTGGTGGAATCTGAAACAATGATCATGTCTGGACGAAGCTGTGTAGATGTTATTCTGGTTGGGATCTTCAGCCGTTTATCAAGATCCACTTCCAGTTGCCAGTCAGTAGCAGGTCTTTCACCAAGTACCATACATAATATTGTGAAAAGATTCAGGGAATCCAGAGAAATCACAGTACATGTAGGGCAAGGCAGTAAACATCAGTTGAATGTGCTTGACCTTTGAGCCCTCAGATGGCATTGCTTAAGAAACCCTCATGCTGCGTTGTTAAATATAGCCACATGGTACTTCAGAAAACCACTGTCATTTACCAGTCTGATGCTGCATCAAGAAATGCAACTTGAATATCTGTTACTCTAGGAGAAAGCTATACATCAATTCTATGCAGTGATGTTGCTGGGTTCTCTGGGCCAGAGCTCATCTCAGATAGTCAAAAAGACAGTGATAATGTGTGTTGAACTCAGATGAGTCCACATTTCAACTTGTTTCCGGGAAAAATATATTTTGAGTTCTCATTACCAAAGGGACCATCCAGACTTTCATTAGTGACAGAAGCAAAAGCAAACGTCTGTCCTGGGTGTAGCAGAGCAAACGGCATGGGTGACTGGAATATGTGCGAAGGTACTATTGACATGGAGGCATATACTGGGATTGTACAGAGAAATATACTGCCAACAAGATGATGTCTTTCATGGGAAGTCCATGGTTATTAGATCAAGACAACGCCATGTCTCATTTTGCGTGTGCTACAACAGCGTGGTTTCATAGAGACAGAGTGAATGTGTTAGACTGGCCTACCTGCAGTCCAGATAAGTCCCCAACAGTCATGAAAAGGAGAACCAGACAACAACAAACACAGACGGCTGAGCTTCTGAAGTCTTGTATCAAGCGAGACTGGACAATAAATTTGCTTGCAAAACTTTAACAATTAGTATCCTCAATTCCCAAACAATGAAACATTGTAATTAAAAGGAAGGTTGATGTGACACAGTGTTAAACATGCCTCTTTCCCAACTTTTCTGGAGTGTGCTGCAGCCATCAAAATCAAAATGTTTTCATATTTACAAAATACCTTTACGTTGGTCAGTGAAAACTTTGGAAATCTTTTCTTTGTACTTTTGTCAATGAAATAAAAGTTAAAGAGAATGAACAAATCACACATTCTTGATTTTATTGCATTTTACAAAATGTCCCAACTTCTCTGAAATTGGAGTTGTATCTTACTTTATCATTATACTGAACCTGACTGGATGGACCAAAGTTCTGTTAAACCAATAGGCGTATTCATCTGCCTGACATCACACATTTGCAAAAGTAAAAAAAAAAAAAAAAAAAAAAAAAAAAAAACAAGCCGTTTTTGCAGCTTTGTCTCAATAAATGCTGTGTTTTTTGTACTGAGGAAGAAACATGAGGTTCTGAAAGTTGGAGTTTAAGATTCATGCTAGTATGTAACCAGTGTTGGGGAAAGTTACTTTTAAAAGTAATGCATTACAATATTGCGTTACTCCATAAAAAGTAACTATTCCGTTACTCAGTTACTTTTTATGGAAAGTAATGCGTTACGTTACTTTTGCGTTACTTTTTAAATCTGGACAGGGCTTGCTTGTTTGTTTTTAAAATAAAAAAGTGGCAAATATAAAAGCCTTTTCACAGCAAAAGTGAAATGAATGCGCCTCAGGCTGAAGGGAAAGTACATTTACGTCCGTACAGTAGAATGCAGAAGAAGAAATTTCAACACACTTCAGCAATAAACAAAGACACACAAATGTTCGTCTAGAGTAATTTGTGCTTATTAGTACGGTTGAACTGGATCATCGAAGCTCAGAAGCAAATAGAATGGGATTAAATACATAAAGGATATTTGTGACGTTTAACATTTAATTATTGCAGGTATGCGTCATATTCTAAGTTGTATTATTATTATTCATTTTGAGGAATACTGAATCTGTGTGTTTTTTGTGTGTGTGAGTGAGATGAATTAATGCATATTCATATTTATTTTAGAACTACAGTAACATCTGATTTCTCTCAACATGGGGACAGGAGAGCTGTCAATCAATAAATTGGAAAAAAAAAGTAACTCAGATATTCTCTTGTAAATTAAAAAGTAATGCGTTACTTTACTAGTTACTTGAAAAAAGTAATCTGATTACGTAACTCACGTTACTTGTAATATATTACCCCCAACACTGTATGTAACACAGATGACAGGACAGCTACTGCACTACAGATTTCTACCAGATTGCTTTGTATGGACGTAATGGCCAGGGACAAAAAGATGTGGTTCTGATCAATAGAAAGGTAAGAATAGAATGGCAAGGCACTGTCATCTACTGAGACCCGAGAATATTTCTTAATTAGCACATTTGCTTTCACAAAACACATTGTAGTTGTCAGAAACCGTGTTCGTCGTTGCTACAAGTCAACCATAGGTTGTATTTTTCCCTTTTTTGTTTTTACTTCATTGTTCATACACTCTTAAAAATAAAGGTGCTTCACGGTGCCATTGAAGAACCTTTTTGTCTAAATGGTTCCATAAAGAACCTTTAACATCTGAAGAACCTTTCTGTTTGACAAAAGGTTCTTTGTGGTGAAAGAAGGTTCTTCAGATTATAAAAAGGTAAGAAAGAGATGGATCTTTAAAGAACCTTTGACTGAATGGTTCTTTGTGGAACCCAAAATGGTTCTTCTATGGCATCGCTTGAAGAACCTTTTGAAGCACCTTTATTTTTAAGAGTGTAGAATGGTACCTGTTTTTTACGTCTTAATAAACAGTCTCCTGTGTTTATGTATTTACTGCATAGAAACAAAATTAAATAACAACAACAACAACAGTCAATAGACAATAGTCTTTAGTTTAGCAAAGTTCAAACTCTTTATATCACCTTTGGCATCACAGATGTTCCAGATACTATTTTCTTCTCAAGTTCACACTAGAACGTTCACTACTGCATTGCAAATGCTGACAATAGGTTGAAACTGGATTCTCTTGATTTGAACATCTCTTTTCTTCAAATCAAAGATAGAGTGATGCCAGACAGCAAGGCGATGTTGTTCTGTTTGCATCCAACTATGGTGACACTTTGTTTTGGAGTGTCCTTATATATAATAACAGTAAAGCAAACAACTAACCCTAACCTTATAACCCTTAACCCTGTATTCTCATTACTCACTTAGTGTAATCACCCTGTAACAAGGACACATTGAAATAAAATGGAACCAAACCGTCATTTTGCTTGAGACATCCAATGTGCTGGATTAACATTTCAATTTTAATAAAAGCCACGAACACACATGACTGATGGCGGTAACAGTGAACCTACCTCATATTTGTTTTTATGTTTTATTATCTTGTTTTTGTGTTTGATTTGTATTGTTACCAGTGTTGGGGAAAGTTACTTTTAAAAGTAATGCATTACAATATTGCGTTACTCCCTAAAAAAGTAACTAATTACGGTACTTAGTTACTTTTTATGGAAAGTACTGCGTTATATTACTTTTGCGTTACTTTCGCGTTACTTTTTAAATATGAGCAGGGCTTGATTGTTTTTAATATAAGAAGTTCTATATTTGTAGCAAATGTAAAAGCCCTTTCACACCAAAAAAGTGTAATGAATAAACCTCAGGCTGAAGGAAAAGTAAATTCGAAAAAAGTAATCTGATTACGTAACTCGCGTTACTTGTAATGAGTTACCCACAACACTGATTGTTGCTGATAAAAATGCGATCATTTTAGTTCGATTGATTCAGCAACATTATTGCTGAATCAACACCACAGTGAAGCTGATTCTAAAAATGTCTTTCAGATAAAAATGTGCGCATAAAATATTGGTGACTTTTATTATGACACTACGACTCTTATGTCAAACACCTCGGGATCATATGACACTGATTGAACATGGCTTCAGTTCAGTGGTAAGAAATGTTTACATTTTAAAGACATTTTGACGCTATCAATAATCAAACTCTAACGCGACGTTTTTGATGAATAGAGGAATAATGATGATGAACATGCACTTTGTAATCTGTCCTAGTGATTAATCATTGCTGTAGACCAGAGGAAGGTGTACTGTTATGACAGTAAAGTGATGGTATTAAATTGTAATGCTATGTTACTTTGATAGACACCATGATATTGCATGATTAGCTACTTAAACGAATGTGGTATGGTATTTGTATTGTGATAATGCTATTATTTTGGTCATGTCCAACAACACAATGGTGCTATCATGGTGCCATGTCCAGAATAAAAAATAAATAAAATAAAATATATATATATATATTACGTGATCATTTTTGGAATTTGTTAGCATTTCCAGTCTCATGTATTAATATAATTGTCGATATGACAGCTTTATCTATGTTTGTGTTCTGTACAGGCACTCTCGGACACGTAAATATGAGAGTGAGTTGCATATGTGTCGTTTGGAGGTTTTAGCAGTGGAGTTCAGTGAATATCATCCACTTAAAGCAATCACGGTACATCTACAGCTCTCCTAAATGTCCATTAAATGCTTTCATTAAAAAAAAAATATATATTATTATCTTGTTATTAAAGGTCCAATCCTTTTCGAGTAAACAGGGTTTGAGTGTGTTGTTCAAGAATATGTATTATTTTTCTTAAGTTTCTATTAAAGGAAAACCACCGACTCACCTTCATATAGCCTTGTCCAAGTCATACACAAGCCATTAACTCGTGTCTTATAATGCTGCTAGTTAACAGACTAAAGATGGCATAGCCTGACAGTTAAACATTTGGATTGACAGCTGCACAAAGTTTGAAGATTGAAATATCACCTCTGCCTAGATGTTTAAAAGAACTTTGATCGGATTTTGGTCATCGGATTGGATCAAATCTAGTTATTTAATAGAAGAAATGCCACACCTGTGAGGTGGATGGATTATCTCGGCAAAGGAGAAGTGCTCACTAACACAGATTTAGACAGATTTGTGAACAGTATTTGAGAGAAATAGGCCTTTTGTGTACATAGAAAAAGTCTTAGATCTTTGAGTTCAGCTCATGAAAAATGGGGGCAAAAACTATTATAATTTTGTTCAGTATATATATATATATATATACAGTATCTCAGAGAAGTAAGTACACCCCTCACATTTTCATGTGACAACACTGAAGAAATGACACTTTGCTACAATGTAAAGTAGTGAGTGTACAGCTTGTATAACAGTGTAAATTTGCTGTCCCCTCAAAATATCTCAACATACAGCCATCAATGTCTAAACCGCTGGCCACAAAAGTGAGTACACCCCTAAGTGAAAATGTCCAAATTGGGCCCAAAGTGTCAATAT